TATTTCGAGTTCTTGTACGCGACCAACTGCCTGCGCGCCCAGGCGTTCGAGTATTACCGGTAGCTGGGCGGTGAGGGTACGATGTGATCAGACCTCGAACGATCCCATGTTCCGCCGGGGACGTGCAAAATTTCGACGGAATGACTTCCTTCTGGGATGCGCGGACTTCATGCAGGCTGTGATTTTAAAGCGGGGGCCACATTGCTCATTCATCGTACAGAAGACAGTCTCCCAACACGAGTCCCCGCAATATCCGTGGTTCGAATGCCGCGTGCCAATTTTTCTCCTTGGACTCGTTGCCGTGCGGAATTCGAAGCACGGACCTCGTGGGTGACTGGAGTTGGAATCTGTATGCAGACTGTCTTTTGTATGATGTTTTAGCAGTATGACCCCGACTTAAATCGAACAGATTTTTTTTGGGGGGGTGAGAGTTAGACGAGAAAATAATCGTCATTTTAAGTTGGCTAATTAACTAAAATAGGAAGAAAAAAAACTAAAACCTCTAAATTATTGGTTTTAGAGGTCATGTTGTCCTACCAGTATTGGCGTAATTACTATTAGGTACATTTCAAGAATTTGGAAAATGAGAATTTTTTTTTTTTAGATACTAGTTGATCCGTTTTCATGATTTTAGCCCAATTTAAAATTTACCCCCCCCCCCCCACACAAAAAAAAAACAAAAAAAAAACGCGGGAAGCCTTGCTTTGTGTGCTCAATAAGCGAAATAGGCTGTTCAAACCATAGAATTATTACAATAAACGCCAGAGCCTCAGGTGTCGCGCGTGTGATGTTGCATTTTGAAGCAGACAGCAACCAGTCTAAATTTCGCTTCCGGTAATGCATTCGACAAAACGCAAATATTGCTTAGTGTTGTGACAGAATAAAAAGTTTGGAACGTTTTACGATCGGATGTACAAAAATAGCTGCCAGCTAGAGCGTTTTTCTTTAGAATTTATGGCGTCGAACACTGCGCTAAGATGGCCAAATACAGATGTATAATACGTGTTGACGTTGCAGACTGCTATTATAGGGTACGAATTTACGCATATAGTAAATGCTATGAAGCACACAGATTGAATCAGCTTGACAACACCCAAAAAACAAATTAGTCGTTAGTTGTTTATACAACACGAGTTTAGTCTGCCAGAACATGACGGCATTGTTACCCACTGTTGATAAGCAATTTGGCCAGTGCAGTACAACCGCTAGCCTGGGGTCTTTAACGTGCACCAGGTAGTAGTGATACACGACCACACGCCGGTACGATACTCATCTAGATCGAAACGGGCAGGGGTGGGGATTGAATTTAGAATCCCTGGGTTCTGCAGCGCGAGCTTTCGCTCCATGTGCTCCGAGCTAGTGTGCGTTAGCCCGCTCGGCCACCAATTCCCCCCTCCTTTTTTTTTTTTTGTCAAACATTATTTTTTTAACAAGACACAGTTTTAGCAACACTTATAAAAAAGGGCAAGCTAAATTACGACTGGCGCAGACTGATTAGGATGATCTTAATGTGACCAGTCCTTCTAGGATTGGCAACCAATCAGGCCCATCTCCCAAAACCTTATGCACTTCTCTCATCTGACTAATGCTCTGAGTAAAATAGTGACACACTGGTCAAACATCTTGATCAGCATGCCGCACTGCCATGCGCCTCTTCCAGATACTGTGTAAGCCAATGGGGAGTTGTAGTAGATCGTTTTTCTCCTCCGCTACGGTATCCGTAAAGGAAGCACCGCAGCAGCGCAGGCGCACCGCCAGCCTTGTCTGCATATTTCAAGGTCTTGTGGCGGATTACTGAGCGCTATGCGGGTGCTTAGCGGGCTGCGGAAAAGGTCCCCTACAACTCCCTAATAACCATAAGTAAATCATACGGTACAGAGTCGGTTGGGGCAACAGGCAGAAAACGTATCTCGTGTGCGCTTAGAAGAAGTTCCTATTTTAGTGTTCGCTGCAATGCGTCCCAGCAGAACACCGCGTCCCAACAATCTAAAAACACATGACACGTGACACGCGAAAAAAGCATGACACGCGACATTTGTGACACAAATTTTTCGGTGACTTATACGTAACGTAACTTAACGTAAAGAAATGGGGCAGTGTGAATGAGGAATGACCAGCAGCGTGGCGTGACGACGTCCCGTGCAAGCCATGTATACAGCCGAACATCGTCTTCATAAGATGAACGGGCTTGGTCGGCACCGCGAGAGAAACAAAACAAAATGAAATCAGAAATAGAGGGGCAAGCCGATGCGGAAGATCTCATCAAAAGAAAAGTAATTCTTCTTCATTCTTTTTTTTTACTATTGCCACTTTTAGGGAAGAGTTGTTGGCATCGTTTCGGACAGAAAGCGCCGCCGAGGCAGGAAGCAAGTCCTCGGCCAATCGGTAGCAGCGAGCCCTCCGAGACGGCCTCAGCAGCGGTCGACGCGAGCCTCTCGGCCCGATGACGGCGACGAGAGCGGGGGGCCGAGGAGGAGGCCGGCCAGCGCGGCTGTCACACACAATGGAACCGCCGGGAAGGGGCTGGTGGTCGCCCAAAAATGCCCGGAATGCGCGAGGAGGAGAAGAAGAAGGCGACACCCGGGGCTAATTCTAGGTTAGCCGCCAGCTGGCTGCCAGCCGTCCGTCTGCCGGCGTCTGGAGCCTCCAAATGGCCGGGTTGCCCTGACAGCTCTGACGGGCGCCGGCTGATATTGTCGCGTCACGGGCCCGTGTTTGTGTTGGCGACGTCCACGCTGAAAGAGGCTCCGGCCCTAATCACCGGCTCGGCCCGGACCAAATGATAGAGACCCGCCGCCTGCCTCGGCCTGGTCGTCGCTCCGAAGGACCCGCATTCGCCGCCCGGGCCGCGGACTCCGCGGCTCGTGGCGCGCCCCGGGACCACGGTGGCCGCAACGCGTCTCCTCCGACTCGTCTGTGTAGCCTCCTCCCGTGGATCCAAAGTGGCCCCGCCAAGTGCCAACAAATGAGGCTGCATGTCGCGATCCTGGCGGTTGGTCGTAGAAGTATAGGCGATCGTCGTCATTGCGTCCCAACTCTCGGTTGCTGGAGTATGCCGTGGGCTGTCAAGTTGCAGACCGACCTGGCTTTGAAAGCCTGTTGCTCATGAAAGCTCTCTGGAGCCAAACTGCTGGAACAGCTTCCAGGGTCTCGTCGACTTACCTCACATCGAAATTTGCACACCGATCTGTACGCGATCGTGCAGCCTCACCAAGTGCACACGGTAATGCAGCTGCCAGCAGGCGCAAGAGGAAACGCTGCTCCCGCACCGTTTTTCTTATCAAGAGGAACGAGGGAACGTCATTCCTAGATTTTGTGTTGCTGGGATTGGAACTCGTTTTGCACTCCATACTGAGAGGGCGCTCCTAGAAACACTCGACGTTCCGTTTCCCTCGTTTTCCTGCATTCTATCCAGGCATCATGCGAGTCACCAAAGTGACATAAACCGAACGCGTAAAGGACGATTCAGGCACTCGCGTCAGTCCGACCGACTGCAGCAGCTTGCGACGTACGGGTCGCTATGGCAACAGCTGTGTCGGCTCCATCAAAAACGGGGTAAAAGCCGGTTTTGTTGCTATGGCAACAGCTGTTGCCATAGCAACCCGTCGTCCTAAGCCGTTGCAGTTGCACTCGGTGGGTCTCAACTCTCGAGTCTCGACGCGAGTGTATGAATTGCCCGTAACGCTAAGGGCAGCCGTCCTCCGTTTACGGTGAGAGGTTCGCGAGGGGCGCTGTTGTTTTCCTCACTATGTGTAGTGCCCGTGCTACCCACGCGGTCATATTTTAATTTTCTTACTGCATAGAAGCTTGGCATTGCGCGTGCTTGTACCAGCGGAGGAAGTTGAAGTATCCTCACTGTGAGTTGCGATAAAATTCCACCAGGCGGCGGTACCCAAACTTCTCGCCGCGAATATGACCTCTATGACCGTGTGCAGCACTGCGTACACATCTCTATGTCGCAAAATTCACTGCCCAGGGCGAGACGGAAACCAAACACCGAGACCTTACGCTGCAACAAGCTCCTCCCCAAAGTCCTCGACTCTTTCCCCTTTAGCAGAGTGAACGCTGGAGAGGAGGAGAGTGGAGTGGAGGAAACTGCCAATCATGGCGAGCAGAGCTTTGTGGGAGGGACTTGCCCCGCTCTAATTTTAGGAAGGCCGCAGTGCTGAATTGTCGTCGTCACCAACAAGCAGTTTTGTACATGTGACTCGAAAAAGAGTAGTCGATTACAATTAAAAGTACTCTCGGTTAAGGAGTATTCAAATAGGCTACTCAATTACTAGAGAAGAAAAGTAATTGGGCGTTACTCGAAAAAGTAACCGTTACTTTTCCGATTACTTCAGATTTTCAGGACAGATTTTTCTGCCGGTTTCAAATCGTATTTTCGTATACTCTCCACGTTTGGATTACAAGCGCCGAACTACGAACTACTTATTTTCTTAATCCAGTAATTTTGGTAAACCATTCTCCTGCCGGAGACGTGGTTCGACGATTCCTTGGTAGGAAACAAAGAAAGGGCGCCTTTAGGAACGGAAGGGAAACGACAATAACGCTCACAAGAAATTTTAGTGCTTCCTAAAGTAATGAGATTACTCTCGCGATTACTTCCTAATAAATGTATTCAAATGATTACAAAATTACTACATTTTGATTATCGCCATTGTGTTGTTGCGTCTTTGTTAGATTTTGTATTTGGGCGTTGATTGTTTACTCCGACAGCCATTACATCATGTACCGCTAACATATTCACCATTGCTAACATTGAAATGTGTTTTGTTCCATTTTTTTTTTTATCATCTTGGATTTGTACTTTACACGTGCAAGGGCCTAATCGAAGGCCCGCAGTAAGTAATACATAAAGAAAGTAACCGATTACGAGAAATTTGACTACTGGTAAGGAGCGCCGTGCAAGTGAGTGGCAAGGCGAGTTCCAGCCTTTGCTGGCCCCTTGGGTGTGCATGCTGCGTACGGCGAGAGAAGTGGGCGTAGATGGGACTCACCGACGAGTGACGTGGCCGACAGAATGTCCTCGACGGCTTCAAGGTCGTTCTGGGACACCCCCCACGGGACCTGCGAGGGGAGGACGGCCCGATCAGCGCGAGGAGAGCAGCGCGTGCCCGCATTCCTCCGGCACCCCTTCCCTCCGGCCGCATGCTCCGAAGCGCAGCTCGCCCAACGCAGTTCCGAGAAGGGATCCCATAAGAGCGCTCGCCAAGTGCGCTGCGGGCTCGTCCCGGGGGCTGTAGCCCCGTTCGTGGGAAGACGACGTCCACCCGTAGCCTCTGGTACGTCGTCCCGCCGCCATACGTGCTGACGGCCTCGATCGCTCGTCCGCGAAAACATGTTCGACACTGCCGGCTCCCCGGTAGAGCTCCCGATCGTGTCTTTACAGCGTCCGAGATCGAACTTTCCCGGATGAAATTCTTCGCTACCAAATAAGTTACCGCCAAAAATTTGTTTGTTTTTAGCAGATATATTTTATCGCAAGACGGTCTTCGGGTTTTTTTCAGACACGGATCGCGGCTTAAGTTTTAGTCATAATCATTTCTTCATCGGGTCACTTATGTCCTCTAAAAAAAAAATGCATAAAGCTACGAAAAAAAAAAAATTGTTGTTTCTGCAGGGATGAAAAAAAGTATTTTTCGATCACAATGTGCGAAGAAAACGAAAGCGATAGCTGTGGCACGGTCGTAGAATGCGGGTGGAACGGTGCCGTCACATACCAGAGGACGGAGGTGCGACGCGGTTAATTCTCATAACTGTCGTGGTTGGCGTCGCGGATGGCACCGACGACCGCCACCAATGCGCGGCGAACCGTGAAGTGGGTAAGCGCCAGCGGAAGTTTATAAAACCATCCAACATTACGCGTAGCAACTGGACACTGATAAAGTGGAATTGTGCATAAGGCGCGAGTAACGTCTGAAAACGAGTCTTTCAAGCAGACGACAGGAAAACTCTTTTCTCTCTCACCGCACTGCGCGGCCGACGGGGGAAACCGCGACTTCCCTGGCCTCGCGCCAAGAGCCGAGAGAAGAGGGGTTTTGCCATAGCGGCGCGACGACAGTCAGCGAGGTCGAAATCTCTTTAAAACGGCGCCAGGCTAAAAGCGCGACGACGAAGCCTTTGGATGATACAGATCATGGGCCGTGCCATGGAAACAGCCGCAGTCAAACTGCTCACACATCATACAAACGACAAGGAGTTTCTCCGCAGACACGATGACAGAATTACCTGCGGACACGACTCACGCATGTTTTATAAGCTGCTTCGTACTGGATCCTTCGAACAAGTCTGCAGACAGTTTTTGTGCGACCAATCTATACAAAAAGATAACAAGCCTCAGAGAGAGTCTGAAGACTGCCTTTTGAATGATGTACCAGCAGCGAGACTGCGGCTGAAGAGAATCCGTAGGTAGAGATCTGCACGGGGCCGGCCAACCCGAACGCACGGGCCGCGTAGCACGGATTGTTTCCGGGACCGGTCCGGGACCGATGCAGGATCGGACAATGGCCCAAGTGTGAACTGGCTACCACGCCGTTGAAAAATATCTTAAAAATAAGAAAGCTGTTTTCAACTAAAGAAGCGCACAAGAAGATACAGGGAATCCTGATGATTCCATAAGCAGAGTGGGACAGCTACCAGCAGGCAAGAAAGCGACTGATAATCCGGCCATCGGACACCAGTTCGATTCTATTTCTGTTTCCTTTTTGAACTCTTGAAGGAGAAAAAATTAAAGACGTTTAGAAATCTCTGTAATGCGAAACTAGAGCGCAGCTCTTGAGGAAGAGGACGAGAGGGTACGGAGGGGAGGTTATGCCCCTCCACTTCCTTCCTTCCTCCCGCTCAATTTAACCGGTTATGTTCCCCCGCTGAATTCAGCGGGGGAAAAAGACGGCACATGACTTCGTGCCACGTCACCCATGAACGAATCCAGTTTCTCCGTCAGACTTAGCGGCAAAATTGACGTCACGTGACCTCAACACCAATTCAATTTCCCGCTAAATTTAGCGGGGCGGCCACGCCGACGGCGATGGCGACGCCGCGAAACGCAAAAACGGGCTAAAAAAGAAAAAAGAATAAAAAAACGCAGTCTGGCTAGCGAAAATAAGTTATTTATTTTATATTTGTATAAGCTTCCGAAAGTTCATCATGTGACTGCGATATGAGAGCGTCTTTGATATCAATTAGTAAAGTATCAAATACTCAAACGCCTTTTCAGGGCAGCTTTGAATTTAAGAAATGAGGCACGCTTTGGCCTCTCACCGGGCGGATCAAGTAGTCATTGCATTGGACCGCGTCCGGGTCGGACTAATACTATAAGAGTCAGCGGCCTCGGGCAGGGCTGGGCCTCAAAAAGTAGGCCCGTGCGGCGCTCTTTTCGTAGGCCCGTTTTCCCCGGGCACTATTAGTGGCGAGATGTTTTGGTAGCGCCCTCCTACGGTTCCCCCTTGTGACGTCATTACCTTGCAAACAAGAAGTTCGATGGTGTTTGTAAATAGCATGGTGGAAGCTTGAAATCATTGCGCTCTCAAAGGAACACCGCCAACACCGTCAAAATTAAAGTTCTTTCATTCCTCTTATTTCCGTCGATGATAAATCCTTTTCTGACGTCGTAGTCAGCGTTCGGCCAATCGTGAAAGGCCGACCACAGCGACGCTTTCGGTCGCGCACGTCGCCAATAGAGCGCATGGCCTGATCTCGAGCACCCGCCAAAATCGCCCCTGGGCTTTATAGAAAAAACAGTAAATAAAAAAAATAGTATGTGATTACACTACGATAGTCATACTCGTTGCCGATACTTTTTCTTTGCGTCGGAGGTCCTCGAACGTTTTGAAACCAAGGAACGTCTTTTGACTGATAGTTGAGGGACCCCTTTAGGTCTGGGCATTGACGCAATAAAGCGACGCAGGAGCCTACATCCCTTGTAAGTTGTAAAGAATACTGCACATAGCGTGGTATTTTGGGACATATATGGTTATGGGTCAATGTACGACTCGGACCTCCTAAGATAGTGTTCAAGCTGGAAGAACACTTCACTTAGGGGCAACTACAACCAAATAAAATTGGGAGCGCGTGGGGATATCTGCAGGTTCCTAAGAACCAAGTTTGAGAACTCGTGCTTACACGATCCACGTCAGGAAATATATAGCTTCGAGGCTTGGAGCTCGCTGCCTATCGCACGCACACGAAAGGCTCCACCAGCGACGCCAGAACCTTCGTTCAGCTGTAGGTTCTGGCGTCGCTGGAGCCTTTTGAGTGCGCTCGCTATGTCGAGGAACTCACGATAGGCAGCGAGCTCCAAGCCTTGAAGCTACTTTCTCACACGCATCATCTACAGCCCCCCTTTGGCATTCGTCAATACACGCGAAAATAAGAGACCGGCCAGGAAGGAGGCTTACCTGGTGCAGGAGCGGGCGCTGCCTGGGCGCCGTGGGCGGCCCCTGCAGCTGGGCCCGCATGGCGCAGCACGGGCCCGGCTACGCCCCGGCTCACAGCATGGCCGAGGAAGCACACGGCCGGCACTCTCCCGGTCCAGGCGAGACCGCCCCACGGACGCAGCCTCTGAAGAACGCCTGCACGCAGCAGAAGGGACCAACGCGTCGGTCACACCTTCGCGCACTGACCAACAGCGACGAAAGTCGGGGTCAAAACGGGGGTTATTCCGGCCGCAATCATTTTGGCGCCATCTGGTGGATTTGACACCGCTGTATGCGCTGGTAGGGACGACCACGGCTCAGAAACACCTCGGGGCGCGGTAGACGTCAAGGGAAACCAGAGACGGCAGAAAATGTACCAGTCGTAACAGACTCTTCTGGAAAGTCAGGGGGCCGACTCCGTATAAAAGGCTTGTACAACGGCGGAACACTGTTACGCCACTGTCGCTTCTACAGACAACAACACAAACAAGGTGTTTTTTTCTTCTTTTTTCCCCGGTGTTCGTTAAAAAAAACATCAAACAATTCTGTACATAAAAAAAACATCCAATCGTTTTTATTTCGCTTTTAGAATTACGAATATCAAAATTACACTACTTCAGGTTGATGCGCCAAGTAGCCACACCAGAGCTCGCAAAATAGCGCTGGAGCCCCTCCTTGTCGCGTTCGGTGTGAGGAGGGAATCGTGACGTATTATACGCCATGATCCCTGCATTTGTGCGCTTTCCGCAAGCTCTAATCCAAACCAACGCGTTTTTGTGCGCGCGTAGGCCGTGCGCTTCCCGGAAAGTGCGTATTTCGTGACGTCGCGCTGATTCCTTCCGGGCGAGCATAAGAAAGTTGGATGATTTCAACTTTTTCTGAACGCGCACGAAAACGCGCTGTGACGTAGTAGGGCGCTCCTCTCCCGGCCAATCGGGTGACGGCACCAGTTCTGGCTCCGCGTTTCTTCGCCGTCTGGCACGGGTGCTCTCCGCTCGCCCGAAAGCGCACCGTCCTAACCAACGCGCATGGTTGTGACTCCCAAAGCGCCCCGGAAACAGCAAAAAAAAAAAAAAATGTCACGAAATACGGAATTTCCGGAAAGCGCACTGCCCACGCGCGCAGAACACGCGTTGGCTTGAACCGCGCTTTACCCGAGCAATCCAAAGCGCTGCACACCTTCTCTCACAAGCGGGACGCGCGAGGCAGCTGAAACTTTTGGGTATGACGTCACACCCAGCAGTTGGTTTTTCGGTTTTCCTCACGTCTATCGATACGTTCGGGTCAAACGCTTCTGATATTCAACTTTACGGGAAAAAATACGCTAAAATATACTTCTTTTTTAAATATAATTTTTTGGTTTCTAAAATAAACCATAAAAAATATGTGCGATGCATAAAAACGCTGACGTTATGTTCGTGCTATCAGGGTCGCGCGGTCTACATATCATGACGACGAAGATTAACTTGTGGCAGAAATTGAAGTCTTGCGGCATTGATGGCGTTCCACGAATCCACCACTGCGCAGGATTTCCACAGCATGCTAAAGGAGGACACCCTTCCGAGAGAGAGAAGGCGGCCACGTACGCAACAAGAAACAAGTATCTTGCAACTAGGATCCGTGCCCTGTCTCTGCAAGCAGATAGTATTTACAGACAGACGGCTATTCACGCAAAAGATCACCCGACGCTCAGTTGGGATATTAGAAGTAACCATCCGCAATGCAAAAAAAAAAAAAAAATGAAAAACAGGCATACAGCAATGCTTTGCATGCAGTAAAAAGTACGCGAAGGCATACGCATTCCTTCAGGTTAATCTGTCACAAGTGAAACCGAACTCTTGTCCGAACCCGAAGATTTCTGTTTTGTTTGTTTGTTGTTGTCTAAAGAATAAAAAAATGGGTAGCCGGGAGAGGTGTGGGCCCTTTTTGCGGGGCAAGTCGCTAGCTGGCTAGGGGAAGGGGAAGCCGTGATTGGTTGAAAAAGAGAGGGTGGAAATTTGGCGGGTGTTCGAATTATTCTCACGGTATTGAGAGTTTAGGGCGAGCCTTCAAAGGGATAGAATTGATTCGGTTCCTTCCTCGGGACGTGTTATCATAGACAGTACATCAGAAACTTCAGAATGGCTTCGAAGGCTCTGTCCGCAGTTCCGTGAGGTGAAAGAGAGAGAAGACGGTCTTCGACGGACCAATATATGGAAAACCTCCAGCTGCATACCGATGGAAGAGGTCCTTCTGCCCGTCTGCATATTCTGAGCAGGAAAGAAGCACGTGCCCAATATCATCTCGAGCCCCGGCTTCAGTATATGCAGTTGGGGTCATTGACTCTTCGGGGTTCGTGAAGAGTGGGCCGGGCATTTGCACAATTTGACCTCAAGCGATGTTAAGGCCGCTTCATCTCTTGGTTCTGGTGTGGTGTGTGGGGAGGAGGAGGGCGGGAGGAGCCGTATCTGCAGCTTCTAAGTGAGGGCAGCGCTGGAGAACCATTTGCCAACCCATCGTCAGGGTCAACCTCGCAGCATTCAACGTTGTTGTTAACAGTGGAGTTGGTTTTTCCCGGTGAGGGATCTGAGTCCGCTCTGGAGTCCGACAATATTACCGCTTTCCACGGCTGCTGCGTTTGAACCTGCAGAGCGACCAGTTTCCCGTCCACGTTAGCGAATGGCTGTGTATCAAAAAGAACGTTGGAAGATGGCTGGAATCGCGTGCTCACCGTAACAACTCCGTCCAAGGGTGCTATGTTGCGCTTTTTGGACTCCCAGGAGACTAGGAAGAAGGAAGTGACGTCAACAACGCAGCAAATGCAGATTCGATGTTGATTTTGTTTTCTTCTGTCAACATCTAATCTGCGTTTGCGGTATCGTTGACGTCACTTCCTTCTCCCTAGTCTCCTGGGAGTCCAAAACGTGCAACATAGCCCCCCAACTTGCTGTCTTGGAAGGAAAACAGCAGCAATAGCCTTCAGCGCGAGCTCGCTGGTTTCCGCAGTGCTTTGGTTGCACGTGCCTGCCTGCGCGTTCACACTTGCGTTAGCAAGGGCAGAAAGCTCGCGCTGAAGGCGGAGTTTCTAGTCTCAGCTAAAGGGCGAACGGAGTACAAACGTCATAGCGATCTCTGAATCAATCAGGAAGTCGACACCGTAGCGACGCCTTCGATATCGAGGGTGAAGGAAAGCGGCTCGCGCACGGACAACCGCTAACGCGTATGCGCACAGGCACCGTCTCCATCTAAGTTTGTCTAACAACTTGTTGGTAAAAAAAAAAAAAAAAAAAAATGGCTGTCCCTTTGGCATAGGGCGTTCTAAATGCGCTCGTCCTCTTGCAGTCACATTGAGGAGGCCACGGAACGGCACACTGCGACGCGCTTGAGAAGATAGAATAGAGTGCCTTCATACACACGCGCAGTGGCACGCGACACTGCGATGTCAAGCGCTGTCACGGTTTCACGTGACGTCACGATGACGCGTTATGGTGTCACCCGACGTGACGTAACAATGTAAGGTCATCGTATCCTATAACTTGGGTTCCGTGTCTTCCGTATATACCGATAAAAAACAAAAATTAACCCTTGAGGCACTTTTTCTGAATCAGTGGTAACCGGAAAACACCGAATTTAAGTTGCCATTACTAAAAAAAAAGTAAAAAAAAAAAACGCCAGCTTTACTGGAAGAAGTCTTCTACGGTACTTCATTTTTTCCTCGTTGGCCCGAAACACGGCCGCAATGAACTTTCCTCGGGGCTGCTCCTTTCTATCGAAACCACGTCCCTTGCCTCGTTCCCTTATCTTATCTTTACCGGCATTACTGGATAAAATATTATAGCTTAAATTATAATTATACGATACAAGCCCGATAAACACCGATTTCCCTTCGGCATCGAATTTCGACACCAAAAAACACCGATTCGAAGGGGAAAAAATAACACCGACAAATAACCCGCGAATTTGAAGAAAAATACATACCAAAAACACGGAACCCTCCCTATAACGTCACGTATCCACGTGACGTAGGTTTGAGGTCACCTGACGTCACGGACTATCCGCAAATACTACGCATTTCGAGCGCCTTCGGGATGACGTCAGGGAGGCTACATGCCCCGGACACGGAGTCTCGCAATCGAGAGGACCTGTTCCCTCGAAATGGCCCGGACAGCAAGAGTATACGCGACGTGTCCCAGCTCCGCTTATCACTCGGGCCATTCAGGCCGACGCAGTCTAAACGGGCGAGAAAACTGCGACGACCGACGGCTCGCCATGAACGGCGCCAAGGAGCGAGGAGGAGGAGCGGAGAGGAAAAGAGCGGCCCGGGGCAAGGCAGTCTCGTTGGCGGCCCCACGAGCACCCCGAAGCTCCGAGCTGACCCCGTGGTCAGAGTCGTTACAGTGACATATTATTTAATTACGGGGCGAGGAGGGGGCACCGGCTCCTCCGGCCTCGCTGCGGCCCGCTCGGGGCGAGCCGTTCCTCGGCAGCAGTGGCGACGGCCCCAGGGGCGCGCTTCTTCGGGACAGTCAACCCGAAGCGATGCGAGAACACACACACCCGCCTGGGGAACGCAGTGCAACGCGCACCGAGAAGAAGAAAAGAGCGGGGAGTATCTAGAGGCTCGAAAAAGGTCGGGAAAAAAACAATACGGGAATCGTGCTATTAACTCGACACTTATCGCTAGTGATATTCCTCTCGTTTAGTCGATGGAGTTTTTCCGATCCCACATAGTGGGGGGACTTTCCCTGGACGTTGTCGTCTCACGCATCAGGTGCGGCTTCCCTCCCCGATGGGAGAAAAGACGCGCTGTTTACGGACGAGCCCGCGTTTTCCCACCGCAGGTGTGGGCCACTGCGCATGCGCAGAAAGGGATATTCGAGCGGGGTGAAGCGTCTACCCATGCGCCGTGGAGACGGCGGCATTGCGTCAGAGTCGCGTGTTCCTGGTCCATGCTTCCATCGAGTTCAACCGCGGATAAGTGTACTAGGCCCATTATTATTCTTAGCATACATCGACGATTTAATGAAGATTCTATCATCCCCCGTGCGTCTCTTCGCAGACGGCTGCGTCATTTACGGAGCCACCCAAACACCAGATGACCATAGAATACTTCAAAATGACCTAAATATAATTGAACAGTGGTGTAACGATTGGCAGATGAGCCTAAACATGGAAAA